TATCTTATTTAGTTATAACAATTTCTTTTGTTTATCTATAGCTATTCTTATGTTTATTTATAGTTATGTATTACGAGTTCTCTTATGCATTATTTTCATTTTTTTACAATTCGACGCTTATTCTTTTTAATAATTACTATTTAATTATATTATAAGATTATTTCTAATAACCGTTATAAAATCGTTCTATATGAATATTATATATAATTACGATAAAATAATATTCTAAGATTATTATATGCTGCTTATAATGGTATTATTAGTTCATGTTACTTTTTATTACATATTATTGTTCATTATTTATTGATTGATCTAGGTTACTCTCAACCTATATTTTTTTATTTGAAATACATTTCAAAACAATTCTTTTAAATCATTGTGTATCATTAAATTACCGCTAGGCCGCCATATTGGATTTCATTCCAGCAACAAGAAGCTCTGCTTGGCGTGATAAGGATCACGCCAAGCAGCACTTGGTGCTATTACCCCCGTTATTAAATTAGTTCCACATATTGTTTTTTAAGCACCCACCTATATTTATATTTTATTCAGAACGTAAAAATCACTACTATTTTATTAATTGTTATTTATTTAAACTTCCATAATAATAAAAATGGATCGCAATTTTATTATTTTATATTAAACCTTGCTCGGACCCATGACGTTGTTCAGGGACCCCCAAATCAGTTTTAATTTTTCATGGACCCCTGAATGATACTAGGGGTCCGTAAGGACCACTTAGGGAATCACTTATCTATCGGAACTAAATCTTCCTTCAAGCTCATCATTTTGAAATTTCCTAGAATATAACCGTTGTTAAATTTTTCAAACATATATGGAATTTTTTGAACAAAAACTTCAATTGCATTTATTAATACTTGGAAGGTTTGTGAGGACATTGTCTGGAAAACAGGAAAAAGATATCACTTTTGCCAAAAATTTGACTTGAGAAGAATCAACATCTCTTATAGAATTCCTATTTTCATGATTAAATCTTTTTCCTTCATGATATCGATTTTTGTTTATTTCTCATTTAGTATCAAATAATATATTATTTTGATTTATGTTTCCCTTCTTAGTTTTATTTTGTAGTATATAAATACATAAGGTTCTTATTATTAATTTTAATCATTAAAACCGCAAAATAAAAACAAAACTGTAATGAGATTGTTGCAATGTGCTATTAGATTCATAGAGTTCTACACATAATAGAATGGCTAGTTACCAGGATGTGAACAAATGTATACAGTACAGGTGGGAAACTTTTTTACCATTAGAGGCCACATGTAAATTAGGTAGAATTAAAGGAGGTCACATAGGTTAATATACCTATGCTAGATCGTATAATTTAAGCGGAAGCGTTAGACACACATGCAATGTATAAACATATACAGTCGGACCTTTATTTAACGAAGTCACTAAATCACGAAAAAAAAGTTTGTTATGTGGACAATTCGTTAAATAGATCTTAAAAATCATCACATAAAACACATTTTAAATTCATAAACTATTATATTATACTTAAAAAGTAATTTTGCACACTTTTCTTTATGTAAGCACACACACATACATGTATATACCCAGAATTTTAAATTTTAATAAACTATAAATACTCAAACAATACTAACTTTTTTTTATGTTTACATAGAAACAAAGCAAAAACATTCGAAACCATAAAAAGCACCTATGAAATAATTCGGGAATGATCGATCATGCAGTGTAAATTTTCACAGTGCCCGAGCTACACTCGTGATAAGTCAGGATGGTACGTTTGATCTCTTCGAGCTCAAAAAGGAAAAGGGAAAAGCTCGGGAAAAGCTGGGAACGGGTTAGATAAGCAAAATGTTAAAATATGAGGGTACACCCGAAAGTTCAAGCGATCTAGGCTCAGTATAAGAGAAAATTTCTTTCGTGCAAAACATGGCCTTATACTGGAATTATATATTTAAAAAAAATAAATTCCAGTATTAAATATTCGGTAAATCTATAATTTTTATGAAACTGTCCTTTAAGGTGAGATAACGCTCAGAAAATCTTATTTTCAAAATTATTTTAAGAAATTAATATCGATTGTTAAGAACGTTTTAAAGCAAACCTCGTTGAAATCTGACAATAATTACGCTCTCAGCAATAAAAAATGTAAATGTCAAAAAAAGACTTGAACTTTGGAAAAATGTAAGCAAACGGATTTTTCGTTAGGTTCTATTTGGAATTTTTCGATTTGTTATTTGTTTCAAGTATCTCACCCTTTGAAGCAACATGAGGTCTATTGGCGATTCACCTCGTAGTTTAGATCCCGGTTACGTGTGATGAGGTTGACATCTCAATTTTACAGCTTAGATTTACTGACCAAAAATATCAGGATCTCCCAAAAGAACAATTAATGGTTTAAAACCGAGATGAGCCTTAAGTCACTCGAGATCGACCGGTGGACCGCTAAGATATTTTGGGGTGACGGCCTTTACTAAGAACTAAGACATGCTTTCTAAAAGAAACCTATCTATGGAACACTGATGCCATCTAGATTTTAGAATCGTCTTTTCACAATCAATGCGACTGTGTTAAGGAAATGATTCGATAAATGTGTGGACGCTACACATGTACCTTCATTGGAAGCAAACGATGATCCTTAACAGGTTCACTGTCACTGTAGGGGAAAAAATTCCCCACTCACCGACTGAAGGGGAGAATAAATGTTGTCGATCAGCACTTCCCGCGCTTCCCCGGGATCGGGTTCTTGTGTTGACGTCATGTCCCGCGGACTCGATAGCGAACAAATTAAGTACATACAGTAACACCCCGCTTAACGCTGTTTCGGCATAACGCTCTTTTATTCCAATTGTGGTGTTCCCCAAAATTGCACGCAGCGTTAGGCTTCCCGATATCCGAAGCGGTTTATCTGTATTTCTTCTTTCCTGCGGTGTTATACAAACGTATTTTTATCGTTTCAAACATTTGTTGACGTTATTGTAAGTATAAATTTATATAACATAACGATTGCTATAGTGACAAATGTTATGATTTTTAGATTTTATCATGGGTGATAATAAAAAAACGAAAATAAAGCAACAAGAAGAAGCATTTCACTAGAAACTAAAATGCAAGGGATTAGAAGATTGGATACTGGTGAACATCAATATCAAATGGGTGCTGCATTGAATTTGGCAATTTCAGCAATAATGACCATTTTTAAGAATAAAGAAAAATACTTTCATCGGCAACTGTGCAACAACGACAAGCTCGGCAACTGGAATTGCCCGTTCTAGAAGCAATACAATACAGGAAATTTTAAAACGACTTTCTATATGGATTAATGACGATGTTGAACACAATATGCCATTAAACCAATCTACCTTCTTGATCAAAAGGAACAAAATTGGAAATACAGAAGAGACTGAATGATCTGAAATGTAAACATACTGACTTGGAATTTTTTTTATTTTTATATGTATATTCGTTTATTTTGTTTAAATATTTGTAATAAATAATTTTTTGTTTATTGTTATAAAAACATAATTAATAAATTTAATGGTAAATTACCTGACCAATTTTCTACCCATCTTTCCCTAACAACTTTATCTGCATGATGAGATAACCTCGTTTAACGCTGTTTCGTATTACGCTCTACTTTGATGGAACGTATAGCCCGCGTTATAAGCGTTGTCTTACTGTACGTCGGTGTCATCGATTCACGTATCTTCTCTGCTCGCTGCATTGAATACGTCCACGCAGTACGGTCTAGCAGTCGCTAATAGCTGTTCAAGCATTCAAATTCACAATTTTGTGTTGAATTTCTGTAGTAAAAATAATATTCTGTGTCATATTTTAAAAGATGGGTACAGTGTTAAAAAAGAGGTTAAAAAAAAGAAAGCATACACACAGTTTTAATACAGAATAGCCACACCTACGCTGATGGGTGCACCACAACATGTTAAAAGCATTAGAAGTAGACTGTACCCTGTAAAAGTCCGCCCATCCCTGATCTAAAATGAAGCAACAGTGATATTTGATGATGGACTAGCTAATTGCGTAGATATTATGAAATTTCAGGGTTATAAAATAAAGTATTTTTCTGTTGCTTCTGATTTTCAAGAATGAATAAAGGGAGCGTAAACTGTCTATATCTCTCACAAAAAAGGTTCGTAAAACACTGAGAATGAGGGGGAAAAATGCATGAAAGCTTTACGGAAAAAGAAGCCTCAATATATGAAATGGATACATTTTAAGCGTAAGAGAAATTATTTTAATGCAAAAAAAAATATCTTTAATCTGGATTTTCTTAATTTCCCTTTTTCCCACAAGATTAAAACAAAAAGTATCTGTTGCAGAGTTATGATATTTTATATGTATAATGTATTTTTTTAGATCTGTATTCTGTATGCCTTTAATCTTTGGGATGGGACCAGTAGAATTCATTTTTAATATGATGCATAGGAAAAAAAAATAGTAATTTTAAATATATTGTTTCAATTTCTTTTAATTTTAAAAAATACTAAAATATGATTTAAATTTAAAATTGGAGGTATACAGAATACAGGCATTCTTCAGCTTTAATTTTATATAAAAATATAGGATCTACATTATGTCTTTTCAAATTTATCTTGGGGGTGACAGAAAAAAAGAAAGCTATTTAATTTTTATTATTGAAGTTATACTTCTTTTGGGGCGCTAGAGAAATAGGATGAGGGTGAATTTTTACGATGCGGGCGCACACCGTCACGGATGCGCGAAAATGCTTTGTCTAAAAATATACAGAACGTTACAGATCATTGCCACCTTCGAAATTCTCAGAAAAATATTTCTCTTCACTTCCCTGAAGAGGGCTCCCGGGTTTGAACCGAGTACCTCTCGATCTGCAGTTGAATGCTCTACCCCCGTGTCAGAGAACCTTTTCTTTCTGTAGGAACGGATACGAAAATGCTTTGTCTGGAAATATACAGAACGAGACAGATTATTCCAACCTTCGAAATTCTCAAAATTATTTCTCTTCACTTCCCTGAAGAAGGGGGCATCTTGGTTTGAACCAGGGACCTCTCGATTAGCAGTCGAATGCTCTACCACTAAGCTATACCCTTCGTGCCTGCGAACCTTGCTTTGCGCTGATTTGTGACGTCACTACTAGTACAGAGAGATCGTCCTTTGCCTACGGAGCTTCTCTGATGCATTTGTTCGAACACTTTTTGTTATTAAACCAAACATACTAACAGGAAATTTAAAAAAAAAATTAGTAAATTAATCTTTGTATTGTGTTTCATGTACATAAAACATAAGAGTAAATAACAGTTTACCTATTTAAATAACAATTGCAGGTATATGATTATAGATGTATTTACTACGAACGCACATTGCGATGAAAATAAACCCATTTTTATATATATATATATATATTGCATTGTAGCAAATTATAAGAGCCTTTTGTATTTGTATATTTATTTTTGAAGTTGTCCTTCTTTTTGGGTTTAGGAAAAAAGGATGAGGGTAAATATTTACGATGTGCGCGCGTACACCATCATGGATGCGTGTGCATACCTTCACGCACCGATGCGCGCGCGCATACCGTTGTCTAAAATTTTAACATGCCACTTTTTTGGTGCTATGGGACTGATATTTGATGGACCATAATAACTATTGTTATAAACCATATCTGTTGGGACGCATCGCCCCTGTGCATTCCCCCTCTACTGCTTTTTGGCCAATATCTCGGCACCTGAGCCTCACAGTCCATTAGGACATGGCTCATCCGATCCCTCTCTATCTGCTCTTCCAGTTATTATAATTTCATGCTCATAGGGCTATTTCTTTCATAGTTTTTAATTGTCTTAAACTTTTAAATTTGCTTAAATTCACAATATCTTGGCTCCTGTTTGAGTCCCGGACTTGAGATTTGAACCAAGTGTTCCACTCGTCAAGACCCATCCAGTCATCTGCTTCATTCCCATTGTGTAGGCATAGGGAGGGCTTAAGCACTAAAATATCATGCTCCCATGTTAATCCTATGAGGACTGGAACCTCCCTCCCTCTAAGGAATTGAGCTTGGAACTTGATTTTTGGAGGTCTTCCATATTTTCGTACTAGCGCGAGCTTTACGTGGAATTGGCTCCCTACCCCCTACAGGGCTTCCCCAGAAATAACTCGAATCCTATGCCACCTTGGTCAACCACACCAGCTAGATTCGATTGTTCTTCCTATGAGCATCCTAGATATAATTTTTCAGGACCATAGCCCCATTTCTTTACCCATATTTAACATTTTAAAATTATTTTAAAATTATAATTTTTTAAATTCCCGCACAGCTCCGACGACTTTTGAGATTCGTTAATGAAACTCGGATCATAGGTTCTCCTCGTTGAGCTGTTTCATCTGTTATAATTCGTGTGTAGATAGTGGGATTAGGGGAGGGTGTTATCACTAAAATTAGAATCCCCATGTTTTTCCTATGGGGTTAAATCTTTTGATGATGTAACGATATTACAGAGATAGAAGGATGAAACTTTGGGATCACCTACTACTCTGTGTATCGTTCTTATGTACGTGACCATTTACGTCACAGTTGTTCCACTCCTTTGGGAGTTAATTTCGTTTCCCTTTCCCTAGCTAGCGCCACCCCATTTGCAACTACAGACTCTGGACCGGTTCTAGTGGATTCCTCTTGTATTTGTTCACAACCAGGCCCAGTTTCGAGTTGCTGTGTGCCCTGCTTTTATTTTATTTAATTGTTTTAAATGTTTTAATTATTTTAAAGTGACCATAATTCGGGGGCTCTTCATGCGGCTGTCTTAATTTTCTCAGGAACGATTCTTCCGGCCGAGACATTCAATATGAGGTCTCAGATGTCACATTTGGCTCACTTCATCTCCAGATACAGTCTAATACCCCCCATGTTATTGGTCCTATTGTCCCTGTGCGGGGTGTTTAAATTTATTTAAATCGGGATTATCTCAGATTTGGCTGGTCCAATTGACCGAAGGTTAGTATCGTTCAACTCTACTTGTGACAGCCTTTCACCCTTGGCCCAGCTTGCCCTGCTAAAGATTTTTAGAAAGATTTTAATCTTGTTACGCCAAAGAAGTATAACTTCTTACGTGCGTACATAAGTACACACACACTTTTTTTTTTTGTATTCATACTGTATGCTATTTAAAAAAATACAATAATTCCATATCAAAATCTTTTCTTTTGTTTTAAACTTTGTACTTTGCTGCAAGAACTGTAAGAAACTTGAAATAAAACGAAAAGAATTTACTGGTTTATAAGGAATCGAAAAAGTTCGTTAAAATGTACAATTTCAAAACTCCGCAAGTTATTTATCCCCCCCCCCTTAATATTATCATAGAGCTTTCAATATCACGCAGTTGTATTAACATTTCTGGGATTGTCGGAATGAAGAATTTTTTAACCAACTTAGCGATGTTTCTCAAAGTTTGAGTTTGACATTCGATAAACATAACGTAATAAATGTTTGACTAATAAAAAACCAAATTGCTTTTAGTAAATATGTTAAATTACACTATGTTTCAGTACTTTGTTACTAATGTGAGAAAACTATTGTTAAAATTTCCGGTATTGACAAAACGCATAATCATGCTCCAACTTGACGGGAGTACACGGCAAACCACAGTTTCACTCAAGTAGTTTCCATTCCAGTAGAAATACGGGGATAAAATATACCCTGTGTTACTCGCTGATAACGTAGCCTTCCCTCGGTGTAAGAATTTTAAAATCGGTTAAGTAGTTTAGGCGGGAAAGTGTAACAAACATACACACATTCGTATTTATAATACATATTATTAGGATGTCATGTTTCTCTTAATCCTCATTTTACATTTTAATTTATTCAAATTGCTAATTTGCAACCCTTTGCTCGCTATTTCCTTTATCCAAAAATCCATCCAGGGTTTCGGCTGCAAAATGTCACCGTCAAATCGCAATGATCTCAAGAACAATATATCACGAATTCACTTTCCTCTCAGAGGAGACCTTCATTCTTTTACTACAATGATGATTTCCATCGACTTGGAACTTCTGAAGGAATTTTAAAACAAGAGTATATGCAAAATTACAATTTACTTTGTATCCTACGAACTTGCTAAGAATTAAAGATATTCCTGACCACGAAATTCCTCTTCTGTCATTTGCAATTGCCCATTACATTGAAAACGGTCAAGGATTCCTCAAAGGTATGTGTAAAACAAAGTACTAAAATAAGAATTGTCTTTCCGTGAAAAATCCGAATTAGAGTCCGTTCGCACTCTGTTTCACTACTCATAATTTATTTACACACAAAAATTTCTCACCACATTAATAAATGTGGCATGACTTATCTCACGAAGGTTACACATAAACTGAACACCTCACTCACTAGCGCCCTCTAGCGACAAATATTCACTTGTTGTTGTGGGCGTCACAATAAATATTAAGGCCGTGGGTAGCCTAGTGGTTAGAGCACCGGACTCCGGACCGGAAGGCCTGGGTTTGATGAACGTACCGCGAAATACCCTCCGAGCACACGCGGAGCACGTGCTCGTTAAATCAGTGGGTCCGAAAGTCTTGTGGGCTGATTCACGAGTGCAGGAAACTGGAGAAAATTTCCCTCCAATTCAGTTTCATGCCTAAATTGTGGAGGTGGAGATAGGTGGTGCCGCCATCTATCGTTCCTTCGGGAAGGCCTCTGACCACCCCCAGAGTGTTCTCCCTCTAAATTGGGGTGGAATTGGGCCAAATCGTACTGTCACCTGTATGGTGCTGAAAGCTACGGCTAACGACAGGCGTCACTTAGCCCTTTCCCATGATGAATTTCATGGACCTTGATCTGGCCTTTGTCGATCAGGTGGCATTAGTAACAACAACAACAATAAATATTTGTTCAACACTGAACAGTAATGAAATGGAGTTCAAAATGCCATTCAAGCCTACCATATTGCAATAATTAGGTTAATTTTAAGTTCTTATTATTTATTTGAAAATTTTGTTTTCATTAAAAAAAAAGACATAAATTTTTCTTGGTAAAACTTTTATTTTCCTTTATGTATTTTGAATAATTTCTTAATGGCACTCTCATTATTTTATCAGAACAACATTTGTATTTTTTAGGAATGTACGTCATTGATATAATAGCTTTATCATGACCTTTTTTGACGTGAATGCGTCAAAATTGCTTCCATAGGGGGACGCAAATACAAAAAGAACCCGAATGATTACGAAATCGGGGTATACAGTTTGGTGTTGCAGCTACGTATCTATTATCTCTATCCAAAATTCAAGTACAACAGTGGATAGCTAAAGGATCAAAGAATTTATTACGATAAGTAAAAGGACTGTGACCCATCGCTCGCGGTGGAAGGGGGAGCGCGGACATTTTGAGATAATTATGCTGCGTATCGAGATTTTCATTTAGTAAAACTTTTGAGTCAGAGAAACTACGACGAACGTTTTGGTTTCAATGGACAGCTGAAAATATTCAGAAATGGTTTATGTAGGTTACACTATAGTTGTTCGCCGGAGCTCGTGAACCGTGTTGAAAACTATTGATTTATATGAGATCACTTATTTAAATGAACGTGAGAACTATCTTGAAAAAATGAGAATAAATAATTATAGCACGGCAAATTGATGATACACATTTAGTATAAGAGCTTACTTAATATGAGAGTTACACTGAGAAAGTAAAATGATAAGAATAAGCATTAGTGCTACGCTTATCGAGGCACAGTAAATAATAATGGCCGAAAACGGCACAGGCCCTTAATTTTAATGAGTGAGAGAAAGCTTATTGTGTGAGAAAGACGGCAGACCCGCTTCGATCTCATCCCTACTCTGTGCTGTTTACTTAAATGAGAAGTGACACAGGTAGACGCGCCTGGAGGGAATATCTGATCAAGTGTGGTAACTGATAAATTATCGACTGCCAAGAGTAGAATTGAATTGAATTGAATTGGCGTTGTGTTTTGGGCATCTGGACTGTAAGACAGTCCTCAATCCCATATCATGATAAGTCTATGATGGGGAGCTTGACGAATGTGGGGTTTTCCTTTCTGCTTAGTGGCATGACGGCGATTGGTTGGGTGATGGAATCCGGG